AGCTGCCAAGCATTTAATAAAATTTGATATCAAATGTCAAAATGGCACAAAGGTGGAGTGTTGGAATTCTACAGTCCTTAATAAGACATTCTTAACCCCCGTGTATCGTCTGCTAGGGAAGTCTTTTGATAAATTCCACACATTTTCGCTGCTGTCAAAACTGTCACCTCACAAGTAGTAATCGGCGCATGGCGACATGACCTCTGACCTTTGAAAATCACGTGGTTTCAAGGGTTGATGCACATCCTTTCACTTGTGCGTGTTTTTCAAATGTATATATTCCTTTTTATTTCAAATGTCATCAGCACTTTTGTTTTCTAAGTGGTTTGTGATGATTTGTCCTCAGAGCTTTAAAATCACGTGATTATTGTGCATGCTTTTATCGACTGCGTACAAATGTATTTCAAAAACAGAGCCAATTAAAATCGTGTGGCGCAAGGAAAATACCTTATATAAATGTGATGGAATAATGCATCGTGACACCACCTAGCATTAAGAAAGTGGTACAAATTTACATCACAAAACAATTGCTCAAGTGAACGTTCTGTGTATACCGATTTTATATGAACAAAACATTCGCCTGCGTCCATAGTCATGTGGGTAACCTCACATATCTAAAGACCATAATTCTGTCGTGCGAGTGCCATAATTTCTGTTTATGATACTTCCGGCAATAAAAAAAAAAAAAAAAAAAAAAAGGNGTACAAATTTACATCACAAAACAATTGCTCAAGTGAACGTTCTGTGTATACCGATTTTATATGAACAAAACATTCGCCTGCGTCCATAGTCATGTGGGTAACCTCACATATCTAAAGACCATAATTCTGTCGTGCGAGTGCCATAATTTCTGTTTATGATACTTCCGGCAATAAAAAAAAAAAATGGCCTCAAATGAATTATCACACAACTAACAAGCCAGAATTAATAATCCCTGTATATGATATTTCCGGCAAGGAAATCTGTCCCTAAATGATCGTGAATTATAACAAAAATAACAAGCCAGAATTAATAATACAGCATCCATTATCAGAAACACTTACTGTCCTACTGTTTTATTTTTTGTTTTGGTCGCAGATATTAGATCCAAGTTCTCAGCTAATAAACTCCTCAGCAGAACCCGAGGTAACCTTAAACAGTCGTTTTAACACAGCGTGCTGCGCGCGGGGTCAGCAATGCTAATGGCATTTTAATCGCCTGTACAGTATTTAATGTATCTTGTTTATTTCCCCTTAATGTGACGTGTTTATTGGCCATTCCAAGTCCTGACGCAGGTCAGAGACCTTAATAATTGACCGGTGAAAATCTCTGCTCGGGTTTTCATCGCAATGGGGGTTCAGGGGGTGGGGCTGGGGTTATAGTAAACCACGTGCCCCATTCCCACCCCTTTTAGCCACTTTTTCTCCAATAAAAAGTAAAAAATAAGCAAAATGAGACAAAGCCAAGCAAAATCACATCACTGTAACTTTACGTATTATGTTATATTGTTCCTGTCTTCTGTTATTTATTTTCTAAAGCTTGTCCACCCCCTAATCCCCCTCAACCTCCTCCTTAACAAAATCCTGGATCGGCAAGAGCTTCTCATCTCAGAAGAATGTCTTTACGAAGAAATCGATGTATACACAAATTATTATACACTAAATGCGCATTAGGTACAGGGTATGATAACCACACCGTGTAACTTTTCTCGTCTAAGGACATTAAAAAACAACAGTAACACCAGTAAGGGCGCAGATTTCAAAATATGCGTTGGTCACAACTTGTAAATTAAACGTGTTAATTTCTTACAGCCAGGGATAGAACCCCCGGGGTGGATCCAGCGAAATTTTTGACAGTCTTTTAAATTATCTTTGTTGATTCATCCTCCATTTTGACCATCTTCCGACAGAAAAAAAATTAGATACCCGTAAATGTAAACTTCAAAAAATTTTGACCGTCTTCTGGAAGACCCAGAAGACGGCTTCCGTCCACCCCTGGACCCACTTAGAATAAGTTGGTTGATTAAACCTCTGTCACATCGGATTTTCGACCGCTTGGAGAAACAAATTTCGGCCCGCTCTCCTGATTCTTTCGTCTACCATTGTGAGAGAGGGCCAAGCCGTCTCAAGCCTGGTGTAACAGGGGCTTTAGCCAACTTTAGCTCACTTTAGCCGACTTAACAAATACAAAGCCTCTGTCACATGTTCAACAATTGGGAAGCCTTTCCACCCATATCATATACAAACAAATCATTTTAGACGCATAAGCATTACTGCAAGTAAAGCATAACTTTTTAATGCCTACATCCCGTTTCAGGAAGGAGAGATCTACCGTTAGATTGCGCTGAATTTTATTTTCAAAACGCACATATTTATGAAGATCACAAGGTTATTTCGTAGACGCCCATTGCATTTATAGGGAAATCACAATGGAAGAAAAGGGTACATTTTACGGTTGAACGTGATGGCATTTTTTCAAAGAAAACTTGGATCAGATACACAATACGTAACATGAAGTACATTTTAAGACAACAATGGAATTTTGTAATACCCTGCTGCTTGGCTGTTGTAATAGCAAATAATAATGGCAAATTAAAGAGTCGATTTCGACAAAAGTCCTGATGGTATCTCACTTGAAGAAAACCTCTGTGCGTGAACAAATCATACGGTTCAGACATCGTATAAGCGCATGCCAAGGGGAATTTAGATGCCAGTACATATTTCATATTATCTGAGCGAATGGATAAAAGTGCACTTTTATCATAAAAAACATAATGTTCCCGTTTTAAATAGATCCTTATGTCCATTGACATAGGGTTATTAGATTGTGCGGTTTTTGAGGATCATATTGGCACCCGTCAAAACCCCCGTTGAGAAAGAAGCGCTGATGAGATCAAAGATCAAATACCAAATAATGACAGCGAGCCGATTTTAGCAAGCAGCATGATAGCGTTTCAACAGCGCTGGGTCTTTAGCTAGAAAAATCACGTTTCCTCTTAGATTAGATGTCATGTGATTCCTGATAATAATTGCAACTTTTTGAGACGTTGATGGTGTTTGATAGACAAGTTGCTGCAGAATTAATTGGACCCCTTCTGCGTATCATTTAGTGCATGCTGAGAAAGGACTTGCAGATTATTAGCCGTGTCTTTGTTGCCCTTGGCAACAGCCCTCGAGGCCTCGTGTCGCGCGCAGGTATGACATTTGTCAGTATCGCATCTTCCCGCCACAATGGATTTAGCCAGGAGGATAATCCGGCATTGGGGGGTAGGATGCGCTAAAACCGCGCAACGACACGAGCCGTTCAGAAAAGTTTAATTTCAGTCTTATTGGATTAAATATTTTAAATTCCTGAGCTCTATTTTTCAAACACCTCGTCTAACTTCATCTGATACTGCGAGGATTTGGTTAAGGTGAAACATGTCGGAGAAATAAGAGTAGGAAGGTGAAAGAGTAAAATATGTTGTGTTTAGAACCCTGAAGGGAAGATTCGCGCTGAAATAAAGGGTAACCGCATCTGTGAGTGTTTGGCGAGTGGATACGGTTTCAAGGTACATCTCTTCACGCTCGGGCCCTTGGTTGTGACCTCGTGTTCGGGATTCCATCTCACGTTTAATACCTGCCAAGCTTGTTACATTAAGTGGCAAGCTGTCATTTTTTATCCGTAAGAGTTGTTTTCTCTTAGTAAACAACTATTCGAGGCTTCTGGTCAAATACTTTATGCATTCTCTCTCTCTCTCTCTGTCCCTCTCTATCTGTGTGCGTGTGTGTTAGTCTGTAAATGCACGTGAATGTGTGTGTGTGTGTGTGTGTGTGTGTGAGAGAGAGAGAGAGAGAGAGAGAGAGAGTATTGATAAAGTTTATTGTCACATTTCTTCAGTTCTCTGTACAATTTTGCACAACAACCTCGTTGAACTTCGTCCCATTGGGGGGTTTGATCGTATTTGCATATAAGAAATGACGACTGTCGCAGTGTATTATTGTCAACACGACTACTTGAATTACATCATGTATGAGAAGAAAAAATACAACAACCTTCACACGGTAAAGTTACAAATTTTTCTTAAACGACACACACGGCACGCGCTTACACAAACCACGCTTTGTTCCTGTCTGAAATTGCCTACTAATGACAATACTCCGGCAAATATTTGTAAACCATTAAGAAATATTTGGCAAGTTTTCTTTTTCTTTTCATTAAAAGCTGATCACGAAGAACACGCAATCTTGACTGGCATTACGTCACTTATGATATATTTGTACGTTTTCTTTTTTAGTTAATTTTTACCATAAATAAGCCACCACACTGCGCGTGGAATACTTTACGACTCTCTTCTCTGAAAGAACTACTGTTTGGTAAAACTAGTTTCTTTCTCCATAGAATTTATCATAAATAACGCAGCATTCGTGGAGCGGTTGAAATTATTAATGTTTTCATTCAACAAGAAGAAAGACAAGGGTTTGAGATTTGACTGAATGCTCCACCTAAAATATTTTTACTTAGTGGGTATAACGAAAACCTTTCACGACTAGTGCTGTAAAAAGACAGGGTGGGCTATAAGTCAGTCCAAGGTCGCTGATTTTCTGAGTCTGTGACAACTAACTAGCTACTGTGTTCGCACAAAATTGGTCACCTTGTCATTTTAAACTACTATTTCTGGATCGTTTGCGCGCATGTGTTTGAGTGTGTGAGTATGTGTGTGTGTGTGTGTGTGTGTGTGTGTGTGTGTGTGTGAGAGAGAGAGAGAGAGAGAGAGACAGAACACGTGTTAGGAATACTAGGGTGATTTCCCTGAATTTATGCTGTTGTTTGAATATGCTTAAAAGTAGTAGAATGTATGAAGTGTAACGCTTGCGTACATATTCCTGTAAAAAAAAAACACTTACCCTTTATAGTCTTTCTCACGTCTGAGTGAAAGTTAGCAGTCATTTTATCGGGTTATCACACTGGCCTGCGTATAATATTAGCGGATGTGTACTAATTATTATTATTTTTTTTGTCATATTTTGTTTTATTTTCAGTTGGAGTTGATTTCGTGTCGCAGACGGAGACCGTAGCCCTTGGAGATACCGCTGTCCTCCACTGTAGCTTTCCAGGCGTCCACAGAATGTACAAAAACGGGCAGGTGAGGGTTCAGAAGGAAAAACTTTGCGTCCAGTCCAGACCTTTTTTTGCATTGGAAATTTTACAAAGATGAGGAATTGAACATCGGATCGTTGGCAGACTCTGTAATCTAACAACTCGATTGTGCGAGTTGAACCGATTTCGGTTATGATCGAGTGCTAGTCTGAACGCGCCTTTTCCGGCATGCGCACATGGATGGACACGCAGATTTCTAGATTTACGCTTGCACGTGAAGAATTTAACCCAGATGCGCTTGTGTATGTGAACATATACAGGCTTACGCACGTTCAGAAACGCTGACACGCACGTGAATTCCCATCTCACTTATTTTCTTTAAAAATCCTTGGTCCGATGAGTTTTAATTAAAATTCGCTTCTGATTTTTTTATTCTTGCTTTGGGCACATAAGTTTACAGACAATTATTGACGCAAGCGAGACTTCAAATGACAATTTTCTTTTCAAAATATAATTTACCTAAATCAACGACTTTAGTTTTCGGAACATATTGTTAAAAATGTTACGTTTCATTATACCTCAATGTCAACGCACTTATCTTCTTTCTCAATATGTGTGCTTTTTTGTTGTCAAAACAGACCAGGTTATTTTCGATTCCCGAAAAATGGTTTTAAAACATCCCATAATTAACTTTCTAAAGTAAGTTTATTTTGGTAAACAACGCCAAGGAGGGATTGGTAAAGCTAAATATTAGTTTAATTACCTAAGTTTATTTAACGCATTTGTAACCGCAAGGAACGCGTGTCCGTTCTCTAGGTTTCCCTACTTGTAGCATGGGCTTTAAGTGAAACAACACGTACTTCAACCTATTAACATGTTATCGTTTGTGATATTGAATTTCACGCTCAAACTTGAGGTGTTTTGACAAATGTGTTTGTGGAAGACACAGCCGGGTTACATGTACCTTTAGATTGACTATAGGTACAATGCCACCTTAAAAATTTCTATTTATTGATTTATCTATTTATTTATTTAAATCAAAAGGATATTTTCATCCTCACCAGTATTATTAATTTTATCATTAGCATTATCATTATCACTGTTATCATTATTACTGATATCATTATTGTAAATAAACATGAAAATGAGATTTTCTTTTAACCACCTCCAGTAGTTTTTTTCAGTGTCAACAAACAACAACAACAACTGCTAATCAAAAACTAACAACAAACACTGTACGTCTGTGTTGATCTATAAACATCCGATACCACAAAGGTTACCTCGTGTACCGTACCTTCAACCTTAAGGACATTACGAAAGGAAGAAAACTAAGTTCCGACGTGAGGTCATTGACTTTTATCAGAACATTGGAGATTGTCAGTTTTGAAATGATGCCGTGGCTTTGCCTCATTAACTTCATTCTCATTATAATTTCTGACATTACAATCAAAAGAAATACAATCGGCTCGAGGTACATGCGATAAGAAAAGGGGAATTGTTCAGGACGTCCATGTAATTTGTTAAGGGAGTACTTCATTTCCTTTTGAGTAAATGTTATGTCAAGTTTCTTTCAAGTTTTTCAAACCAATTTATTACCCATGCAGTAAACTTTGTAAAGCATGACATTTCTCCCCAATAGGTGATGTAGCAATTTGAGCCATTTCATTATAGCCTCATAAATCAATACCGTGATTTTGATTAATTTGTAAGTTTAATCCCTTCCAAAAAATCCATCTGTTAACTTGTTCGTTCCTAACTCTCTTACTCCATTAAACCATGGGTCTTACGATTTCTTAACTGGTACAGGTACATATTCATCTATATCTTTCTACTTTCAGGTGGACTGGGTACGAGAGCCACGAAGTGCTGGGGATCCCGCCAGTCTTATCGCGCGAGGCAGCAGCGTCTTGGCTTTCGACAAACGCTACAAGGTCTTAACCCTGCCACACTCGGCGTTTTCCATCTTGATCATCAAGAAGGTTAACCAAAAGGACGTCGCCAAGTATCGCTGTAGCCTAAGCCAGAGAAGACTGAAGCATCGGTACATCTTTCTTAACGTCACAGGTAACGGGAAGCAATTCTTGAAGCGTCATGGGTTATTGTGTAGTTTTCGTGTGACGTCATAATTAATGGGTTACAAATGTGTCGTCACTGTTTTGCCGCTGTTACGTCACTGTTTCTGTATTCGAAATGTCATGTGTCAGGTCAATTACAGCAAAATCCAAATGTGTCACTTAAAATTAACACTAGGTTGAATGAGATTTACGACATCAGGTAAATTTGAGCTTTCGATTCGTTGGAGAACTTTCAACTTATCATTTTTCATATCAACAACGCAGCAACACAGATCCAGGTCGATCGCAGTCCCGCAGAAAACAAGGTCAACGCGGGGTCAAACCTGACGATGTACTGTCGTGCCACCGGGTACCCGCGCCCCCTGGTGTACTGGACTGGTAGACTGAAGGACGGCACGCCTTACAAGTTCTCTGATGGGAGACAGGAGAAGTTTGTGAGTGATTTATTACACGATGTAAAGGGTTTTCTTCACAATGGCGGATCCAGGATTTTTATTTTGTTGAGGGTGTGTGTTGACAGGGTGGGTCCGAACGTGGGGAGCAAAGTATATAACTTTATTCGTAGACGAGGAAAATTTTAATGTATCTAGCGCACAGGGTTGAGAATTCCTTGTCCTTTAAATTGTCTTGTTTGCCTTATGGGTTTTTTTGGGTGGTGGAAATGGGTTTGGGGGGGGGGGGGAGAGAAGGAGAAGTCGAGAAGGAGGGCAGGACACCCATTGTGCCCCCTGGATCTACCATTGTTTTAATTTCATGTTCACTTCAATATTGTCCAAATTGATGTCATTGATGCCAGAATTAAAACAACAATGAGAAAATTCAATAACCTGTTTATATATTTACTAGCATTTCGATTAAACTACGACAAACAGTGTTCAGTCAATTTGTTTTGGATTCTTAATAATTGCCACAGAGGTTGAACAACAGTGAAATTTGGAATAGAACGGGAATACGTGTGTTTGAATGGTACAGTTCTCTCCTTGCCTCTCTCGCTCTCCCGTTTCAATGGTATTTGGCAACATTGTACACGTGCGCATAGTTCCCCAATTTTTCACGGATGCACGACTTTTATTACTTGTTTGGTTGATAAACTAAAACACTGGTATGTCCAAACAAGCGGCAAATTCCCGATCGCGTATGCCAACATTTTCCACGCGGTTACACACCAATTCTCTAATGAGGAAACTCGCTTTAAGACAAGAGGAATTCTCGAAACTCTGTAAGCATTTAAGAAAAACCTGACAGAAAAAAAAGTAAACATCTCTTCTATGTATTTGATGAATGAGAACCAGAAGTCGCCAATGTTCAGTTTCAGAAACATTCTGGAACCTCCAAAAATTCAAGTGTGAAAGTAAAAAAGCAAATGTTACTTGTTGTGATGTATGAGAAACCGAGCTAATTAAGACAAAAGGTGGACTGCGTTTTTCCCTGACGAATGTTCATTCCAAAGTATAGCCACGTGTACTTTGCCAAAGATCCACTGGAATTAGATTATGTTCTTTGCATTTGAAGGAGGGCTTCGTTAGGCTGAAAATGACGTCTGTAACCTGAAGTTCGAGAACGATATGTCTTCAAAATCAAATAAAGTAAACAGTAAAAAAATGACAACGACAGCAAATATTAGATAGATGAATTAGATTAATAATCAACTAAATTTAATTATATGATCAAATTATCAACATAATTAATACAACAAACAACACAGCTCACTAAAAAGAAACACATAATGAAAACTGCAACACCGCAAAAGAAGCAAAATGTACCAATGCAGTACAAGCAGAAAGTTATTAGAAACACTGGAAGCACGTTTTATCCTTGTGATACAGCTTTTGCCTTAAATCAAAAACAAGTGGCAAATCTTTTCCTTCAATGCAGTTTCAAAAGTCTGTGATCTTTCAGGTTTAGTCAAAAGGAAAACATTTGTTTTTTCCGCGTAGGGACTGATTAGAATTCGCGAAGTACATGTCCTTATTACAGTATGTAAAGAATTCCTTAGATTTTTGTTGTGCGCTGCATTTCAGAACATTTGGCCTGATCTAACAGAAAATTTTTGATTGGAGGCCTGTACGAATATAGGGACAACATAGGATTTCTTTTTCTAGAAAAATAGTTATCACACACCAATAGTTGCGACTGACTTAACGAGAGAGAAAGAGGAGAGAGAGGTGTGGGTGGGGGAGGGAGAGATGCAATGAATAGGGCAAGCAGTCAAAGTTAAGTAGAAACAAGCCTTAGTGACAGAACCAGCCACTGAAGACTAGCATGATAATCGATGTAAACTCTAAATAAATAAGAGGGTACAGGTTATAGATAATCGTATGTAGACACTCTTCTCTATCTCTTTACCAACCGTTTATTGCATTCCTTAGACAGCCTTGTTTGTTTCATCTTACGCAAGAATTGCTAGAGTATTGAAACTCCATTATACGGGAGAGTAACTCTCAGCCGGATTGCGTTACAACAATCAAATAAGGAAAATGCGGAATTTAACCAGGGGAAACTATACCGAAATCGTTGTAGCTAAAAATGAGTTCCCTTTTTCTGTTTTACAATGTATATTTTGAATTGTACAGAGGAACAGTGACCTACAGGTATCAAGGACATTGACACGTCAAGGTCACTGACCTACCGAGGTCAATGACCCGTTAAGGTCACTGACCTACCAAGGTCATTGAGGGGAGTGATCACTGGTTACCACATGCTCAGTGAAACGTGACTTCCACCGTGTCGCCGCGTTCTGACGTTGTTGCATTGCGGTAATGGGATGTTTATTTAGGTGATTATTTATCAGCCCTTTTTGTGACGGAGAAAGTCAACGGATGTTGTCTGGGAGCTAGGAGAGCAAAGTGAACATTATCCAGAAGAAAGGTCATTCCAGTTCTGGTCCGAAGGCATCCTAAGAAATTTTTATGACATTTATTTCATTTCATTCTTCCCGTATTTTTGAATAATTATTTTCCTATTGTGTTCAGGGAGATACACTCACGCTGGAAAACCTCAACCCGCGAGATACGGGCACTTTCACGTGTCACGTGGAAAACTTTGTGGAACCAATCGAACGCAAGCATTTTACAGTCACGGTCAGAGGTAGGGTGTGTGTGTGTGTGTGTGTGTGTGTGTGTGCGTGCGTGCGTGCGTGTATGACCGATTTCATATTATCATTATTATTATCAAAATGCAAATGGTTTTGTATTTTGTAGCGTAAATAGCTGACAAATGCGATATAGTATCGTTTAGAGCTCAGTAAATTTTCAAAAGTGTGGCATTAGAAATTTATGAGTAATTACCGTAAATAACTCAGTGTTTTGGTATTGTTTATTTATTTATTTATTTATTCTTTATTTATTTATTCTTTATTTATTTATTTATTTATTTATTTATTTATTCCAGATCTCCCCTGGTATTTGCACAGTTACCTCCAGGGTTTTAACATCCGGCATTTCCTCAGCTCCTGGACGCCCAAGCCCGGGTTCGGAGAGGCGGTCATGTTACGCTGTGAGACGGCGGGTATCCCCAAGCCAAAGCTTACCTGGTATAAGGACGGGAAACCCGTCAGGGAGACATATGAACTTTCCATATTTGTAAGTAGAATTTGTCTGTCTGTCTGTCCGTCCGTCTGTATGTGTCCATCACTCCCCCTGCCCTCTCCCCCTCTCTCCCTCCCCCCCTCCCCCTCCCTCTCTCTCTCTTCATTTGTCTCCCTATAAGTCGGTCCATTGCACCAAAAGTTAATAAAGATTATAGTATCCTCTACAAACCAAAATATCTAATCTGAGGGTGTTATGGTATACATATTGAAAGAGAGGGGGGAGCTCAACACACACACACACACACACGCACACACACACACACACACACACAGAGAGAGAGAGAGAGAGAGAGACGAAAGGAGAGAGAGATACGAGGAAATGTCGACAGGCTGGAGTAGTCTAGACACGGAAGCGCGACACAAATAAGCAACCCGATGAAATCGTCTTTCAAAATTTCACGTGAATTTCTATACGGAAAAGACAGCTCCCCGTCATTTGAAACCTCTTTGTTTGCACTTTTTGTAACAGTTAAAAAACGTTTGCAATGATAAACCTAGGTGTATATATGTTGCATTATCATAAATACGTCGCCGATCAAAAGACTTATGTTACTAATGTCGCACAGACGCCTATACCGGTGATAGATTTATCAACTGTATCATGGTAAGTTTGACAGGAAGAAGCTGACTTCAAGTTGCCTTAGTTCTGTCAAAGACCGACTGTTTTGAAACTGTTGTGCAGTGTAAAACTCTAAAAACGGCAAAATTGATGAATATCAGTAAAATATTTAAACGTATAAACGCACAAAAATGTCGATTTATGGCACATTTTAAAATGGGCATTTTCGAGATTGTGCCTCGTGTCAAACTTTGCTATTCTTAGATGGTTCTTGTGTGAACATTCTTGCGAGCGTCCCATATTGTTAACATCGTGACAAAATTGTTGCCTGTTGACCAAAAAGACGGAGACAGAAAGATCGAATATCGCGATTTTCGCGCCTCATTAAAGCCACCTCTGCTCCTCTGATGCTAATCACAATGCATAAAGGAGAATTACGATATAATACACGCTCACAGCGGAGAGCGCGCAATAAAGTAATGGTAGTCCTTTTTTTGTAATCTATGGTTATTCTGAAACTTGACGGGTGTCAGACGTATAAAATAATCGTTGTGACGGCTTCACGGGCGTTTAAGCATGTCAGAATAACATTGGTGAATAACCCTTTTCCTTGTGTGAAGTATGGGAATCTTTGTGGGGGTGGGTTTTTTCTCCCTCTTTTTGTTTTGGCGTTCTTTCTTTCTTTCTTTCTTTCTTGCAGCTTTCTTTGATATTTGCTGCAGTTTTTAATTGGTACATAGTGCACTTATTGTCAGTTTGAATTTGTACGGTTTTTAAATAATTTTCTTTGGCATCTCTCTCTCTCTCTCCTCCTTCCAGTCTCTCTCCCTCACACACACACGCACACACACACACTTTCTCTGAACGGGCACTTTTTATCCGCTGTTCTTTACATCTTATATCTGAACCTTCTAAATACTACTCAAAAAACGTAATCGGACTATTCAGTGTAATTCAACGTCTGCCGTTCATACGGACAGCTTTTAATTCCCTGTCAAAACTATTGATCAAACTATTCATTTTATAAGACTTTCCAAAGTCTATACAAGATCCTAGTGTTTTATGAACGCCTTGGTAACACCCATGCGGTGCGCGTATGTCCAATTTTTTCATAGAACGAATGACTGTACTCACGTTCACAAACATTTGGAGTGACTCTCTAAATTATTTAAAGTGACATCTCTTAAAAGTTATTAAACGTGGGTGGTGCCCGTAAATTTGTCATGTAAATTGAAATATCGTTTAAAAGGTGACTCCTCTTTTTAAGAGATATTAAGGAAATCGAAACTGGCATCTTGGTTATTTTCTAAAATAGGAGGATAAGGTCGTAAATCTGTCACGTGTCAAGATAAGCCGGCGTGCGACCTGACAGGGTCACGAGCAAAGGGCGGTTAATCACACTGGATTAGAACTTGAATGTACAGATAGCCTCTTCAGTTATTAACACATACTCTACAGTCATCTAGGTAAATTATGAGACCCCTTTTTAATAAATGTAAGGGGTAGTCAAAAACATCTTGGCAAAGGCCCCATTGCAAATAAACAAATAAATGGATTTAAAGAAAAGAAAAAAGAAAACGGGATGCAGCCTAAATTTCTCGCAATATACTTTACAATTACAGTCAATGATTATGGGTGAACTTTCATCTACGGTCAACTGCAAATATTTTGAATTTTATTGATCTTTTTACACTAGAGAACAGAAATCAATTATAGCAAGGCAACATTTTGGTCTCCAAATAATCAAATCGCTACTTGAAAAGATGCTTAAGTCTCCCCTAACTGTCAAACCCAATTTATGACCTTTGTTTTTTAATACAAATATATTTGACGTTCCTTCTGTATATTACAAGTAGCAGAAAGGGGAAAGGGTCCGACACAAATTTATTACAGGTCGTAGTCATTCACGACCTACCGCACTTCTGCGACATGACACATCCATCTTTTTAAACAGTTTTAAGTCTTTTAAGTCACCAATTTAAACTTGTCAGCTTTCAAGAGAAACCGGGG